TATTTTGAAACATAAACTTTTAAGTGTCGTATTTAAAACTCTATATAAACTGAGAAATAATAATTGAAAAGGCTTCAGACCTGTAATAGGTTGGGAATTAAAAGGAACTCCGTAGTTTTAAGTTTTGAATCCATATTGTCCAACTCGTCAGCTATACTGATCATCACAAAGTCAATGTTAATGTAAAAATGGTTTTATCTCAATGATACAATTAAGTACCATTTTTAGTTCCTTTTTTATTACAGAAAAACAAATGTAATAATTCTTCTTACTTTTAAATTGTTATTAGTTGCTAGTTTAGTGAAATACACAGTACTATTGGTGCTATTAACTATATTTTTTCCATCACGTAAAAGGATACCATGAGTTTTTTTTTCATCTTGAAGACCATGAATGATTATTTTACATGTAAACTTACTTTTATACGCCTTTTATTCCTTGTCATGATGATATCGTGTCATTATAAGGACTCGTGTCATAATGATGACAAGATTGTTTGTGTACTGTTTGTAAATTTTCTGTAATATACTGAACACTGAATTGGTAGATACCTGCTAAAAAGTGTTATCGTTACTACAACATCTTTTATTTAAACATTAGATGGTACAAAGAAATGTGTTTAGGCTGCAATAGTAGTAGAAACAATCATATATTGATAAAAAATATTGTAGAGGCGATACTTGTACACAAACATTTCGAAGTACTAAACATAGACTAACTGAAACCTGCAGAACACATCTGGCTGTAAAGTATTAAATAGCTAGTTTTAAAAAGTTGGTCACAACATATACTTTAAAAATGATATAATAACAATTACCAGATCTCAATTCTGTGGTTATATATTGGGTAGAGATATGGAAGTTGCTTGTAATGTAACATATGTTCGTAACCCGCTGGCCAATGAGAAGGGCACATGTTGCACTTTGATGTTACGCTCTACAAGCATACTAGCATGGTAGTTGGTGAGACTAGTTATAACTAGAAGCCACGTGATTACACAATAGATTGAAATTCGCTAACATTATTGAACAGAAAATCTGTAGGGTTATTTATGATACAAATCATATATCTCATGTATGTTTTAATTATAAATATAATCATGTGTTTATTAGTTCATTTTTACTTACTTCAACATTATTTCTACAAAATAAATGCACTTTTTAAATATTATCTTGTTTCTTGTCGTCTTAACATTAAAAGCACACATCTTTACATTCACACCATAAATATGAGCAAAACATCAATCGTAGCAATACCAAAAACTAACAAAAGTATATTAAAGTTAATATCTTATGATGGTGAAATCTTTTACAAAACTATAAATCAATGAAAAAAAATTAAAAAGATTGGTACTTTATTATTATTTTGACCAAACCTAATAATTATAACCTAACCTTACCTAACCTATGGGGGACAATGTTTTAGGTAAGGTTAGGTTAGAAAGATTATGTTATTTCAAACTAATCTAAATCTTATTTGGTAGCCAATTTATCGGTGTGGTCAGTATAATACCAAAGTAACAAAAGGTCATCAAACTAAAAAGAATGTCAACATTTTATTCAAATAATAACTCATATTTATCTGATTAAAGGTGTTTTTATTTCTTTATTTATATGTGAATCCTGTATAAGCCTGGTAAAGTATGATTAAACCAACACAGTAAGAGTTCTCCAAAATGTAAACATGTGTACATTGGTGCTACTAGGACGTGTAATGTAACAATATTGAATGTGTCAATATCTGATCTTTTTGCGCCGCACTATATGTGTTCTTCTATTACAAGCTTACAACTTATTACAAAACTTACTTTTGTAATACGTAACATTTTCCAAATGATTTATCATTGCTAAGTCTAAAATAACTGTAGTATTTAATGCCGAAGATAATGTCTTAAATTTTATTATTGACGAGAAACTTAGTCAAAGATTTTACTTTAAAAATATTATAATAATGCGTTTTCAGTGTTGCAAGTTGTAGCGATATGAAGTTTGGCCCAAAATAAAGTATACAGTAGAATAAGATCGAACACCTTTTATTCCTCAGCACGTTTTGGTCTATCATTAATGGTTTATTGAATTATAATTTTTTTTTAACCTTGTTGCAGAATAGCACACTTTTGTATGATTGGTTTGTATGCTTTTATATTATTTTGTGTGATGTATGGCTGTTTTTGTAGAAAAGTATTTTATGACGTTCGACCAAAATGCCGGGTGAAATTTCAGCACATTTGGGAAACTATTGAACGAATTGCTTTGTAAAAGGCAAGTATGGAAATATAAAAATAGCTTTACTTGAATCGTAAACAAGTTGAATTAAGGAGATTTACTTTAATAATGGGACATAGTTAAACTTGTTTGAAAGTAAAACATATTAAAAAAAAACATAGTGTATAATTTTGAGAAAAAAAATTACGAAAAGAGATTTTTGTGAGTAGATTAACATAACAGACCAGGCAATGTATACCGCTAAAGCCTGATGAGCGTAATAAAGTTAAAAGCATCTCGAATGAAAGCCGTTGGATTTTCTGCGTTTTCCACAAGTCTTTGCTCTGAGTGATTGAGGAGTGACTGAGTTTACATAAGTTAACCCTGAAATTACCCTGGTCAATTTTGTGACGAATTATGTTTTATAAGCTAACATATAAGCCTATATTTTTTACATTTATCAAATAAAACCCTTACCCTGAAAGTGTTTGTACGAAAACACGTTTCGATGTATTTTCTTCATTATTAAGACATTTTAATGATAAAACTAATATTTAATAGGAATACATTCCCAGACCAGTTTAACGTCCCTATGGGAGTTCACTTACAAGTGAATGTAACATTTCTCTTGTTACATGTTGCATAACATGCTCATGTCAAGGCCCACGTGACACCATGGATTGTTATGTTATACAATCTCTCTAGAGATTAATAGAGGACATTGGTTATAATTAGAAACTACATAAGGACGATGAACATACTCTATAGTATATTGGTCATAGTCAGCGTTCAGCTGAGACAAGAAATTTTTTAAAAAGTGTTTTAAAACCTCTTATTAACTAAATTGCAGGGTGCCGCAGTTAAATTTACTATCTAATGACAGTCTTAGGAATCAATATTACTACGTTGTAAACTAAAAAAATGACGGAGTTTCGGATACGTCAACAATCCATTTAATGGGCAAGCTATAGGTTCTATTCAACAGATTTTTCTTAATGTCACAAATTTATTCTTAATTTTTTTTAAACTAATTCTAAAATGGTAAAATAATTAAAATACAAGTTATACAGCCTGAAAGTAGGCTACTAATTCAAAAATTGATATAAACTTAGTGGGGAAGATTACAATAATGTTATCAATTGTTAAAACCATGAACATCTATGCTTAAAGTGAATCTGTAATAAAAACATAAATTTTGATCAAGCTCAAAGAGCAGATATGTTCGTAAATATCAATAGGTTTGCTCTTAAAATGTAGTCGATATACTTAAATAGCTTGATAGTCTTTGTTTGACATGCAAATAAAACTGTACTTCAATTCAGAAAATTAAGTAATTTATTTTACATTATTAATTTAACTATATTATACATTTAATGACGAATCATACCAAAATATGTCCTATTTGGTTACATTTTTATATGCACAGACTGTATTCCTTAATACAGGGGCTGATCAGTTATATTATCATAATGTATATGACGCAAGATTAAAATTATACTACAAAGAAACCCCATTGTGCTAATTAATTAGTTTTGAACCTTAAATCTGAAATCTCTATGTAAAACTACTTAAAGCTCCTTTTGACACTTTACTGATATCTTGACACGGTTACTGATACTAATCATTGTAAAAATATGTTTGTGCATAATATATAACTAATTGTTCAAATGTTTTTAAGTGGGTTTTTCTTAAAAATGATAATTAAATGGACAAAGTTTTAAAAGCAAAGCATTCACCATAGTAGGATTCATAATATACAAATAAAATAATTCGCATTCATTTTTACTTACATAAATTTACATTTTAAGGTGTGTATATTGTTAGTTTTTAATAATTAGTAATAATTAAAATTCCACGAAATAAACTTAACAAAATAAGGTCATGAAATAATATTAAGAGCAATGTAATAATATTTTTCTTAATATGTACAGAACAGTCGGGGAGAAATAACTATGAGAATTATAATTGAATCACGACCTTTAATAAAATTTAATTACTTTCGTAAAGATTACGTCCTAAGTTAAAAAGTGATGCATTTGGTGTAATCAATAAAGTGATACAGTTGAAAGCATCGTCAACAAATAACTTGGATTTTCAAAATTCGTCTAGCCATTTTAATAATAACGATAAAATGGTTAACTTTGTTTGCACAAGATTGAATTTAAACTTCATTAATTTTGTGTAATGTACTAATTTAATTTGAAAAACTAATGTGTTTAAAATGATTTTACTCCTTGGATTAAAACCGCTTGGTAAGTAAATCATTTATATAAACTCAAATGCAAATATATTAAGTTGTATTATTATCGTCAGTTAAGAACGCCATTTTAAATATTTTTGAGAATTTTGAACTATATTTTAACGGTAAAACAGTATATTCTTCAGATTTTACTTCCATTTAATTATTCCCAATCAGTTTGTAGTAAATACAATTTCCTTGTAGTTTGCAAACATATTTTACCGGTAGTTTTTTCTCTTTTTAAAAAATTTAGAAATATACTACCTCTTTCTTTCTTATTGTTGGATGTAATCTTTACTGTAATAGTGTACAAGGATCAAAGAAAAAATTTACGTGCTTTAATGCGCTATTTTGTGCGTATTAATAATGTGTTTCACATTTAAATTTTTAGTCCATAAAATATATAAGTACAAATCGATAGTAAAAATCAGTTAATTTATATGCACAAATGTAGTTCGTCAATTAGTACGATGTCATGACAAGTCTACATATATTTAAAAAAATATCATATTTCTATAACGGGTTATTTAAAAGAAAAGTAAATAATACAGCAAATAGATTGTATGAAATGGGAAATTTATTTTCTTCCACACTTATTAGATGATGTATGATACAATTTTTTCATGATTACTCAATGTAGATGATACTGTTCAGTGTTCAGTTCTGGTTGTTTTTGTTGTTGTTGTTGTTGTTCTTGTTGTAGACGGTGACAGTCTGGAAGAAGACGTTCTTGGCCTGCTGGAAGGTGTTGGCCTGGACTTGACGGTCGAAGGGGAAGCCCTGAGGACGGTTGTCGTTGTTCTGGTTCTGGTTGTTGTCCTGGTTGTTCTGGTTGTTGTTGTTGTTGGGCTGGTACTGGTTGACAGCGACCACGAACACGTACTGCTGGCCGTTCTGAGATCCCTTGGGCAGGATCAGGTTCTGAGGCAGAGTGTACTGCTGCTGCTGCTGTTGAGTCTGGTTGTAGTACAGGTTACCTTGCTGAGCCTGGTTGAAGATGGCGCGAGTGTTGGGCTGCTGCTGGACGAACCTGGTGGACTGCTGGGAGTTGCGCTGGATCTGGTTCTGGCCGTTCTGGACTGTTGTGACAAACGACAAAATGTTAGACATATGCACATCCAATCATAACATAGCATCTAACGTATACGAGTTTTATTACGTTTTGTAATTTATAACAGATATCATATTAAAATAGAAGAAAATCCGCTTCAAGGACCATAATAACTACAATAATATAGAAAATGTTACAAGTTTCAGCACAGTAATTAAAGAAAAATTCAAATATTCTATTATTATTTTATTTTTTACTTAAAACCTAAATTTAACTGCGTAGTCCTACTAATATTTTATTTAACATTTTAGTTGAAAGCACATTTTATCACTTTTTTACTAAATGTGTTTTATGAAGCAAAATAGAGGCCAACAATGTTCAGAAATACTTACGCTTGGTGACGAAACGGTCAATCTCGACAAAGTTCTGCCTGGCCTGCTCCAGAGTGTACTGGTTGCCTTGGGCGTCGTACTGGGGTCCGATGAAGACTCGCACGATGGCGTCGGCTTCCTGCTGGCTGTTGACCTGGATCTGGTAGTTGAAGGGCTTGTTGTTGAGCTGCTGTTGCTGGGCCTTGTACTGGTAGTTCTCGGCCTGCTCTCCCTGCTGGTAGTTGATGGCGTTGTAAAGGTCCACCTCGTTGTTGTCGAAGTAAGTGACCAGCTTGTCGACGTTCACAGACTGAACTTGAACACCGTCAAAGTTGACCTGCTCCTTGTTGTAGGGCTTCAGTTGGTTCTTGAAGTTCTGGAAGTAGTTGACGACGCGGGCGATGACCTGGTAGAAGACGGGGTCCCTCAGGGCAGCGGAGTTGGTCTCGATAGCTCCGGGGGCGGCCTGGTACTGGTTGTTGGGGTCGACGATGCTGCCAACCACCTTCCTGAAGACATCGAAGTAACCGTAGAATCCGTTGTTGGCAGCGTAGTACTGGTTGTTGACAGAGTTCTCGTTGGCTTGCACAATGTTACCCAGAACAGCGACTCCGTTCTCGGCGTTCAGAGACTGCTTGGTTCCCTGGTCCTGCCAAGAAATAATTGATCATTGAATCGTAGTGTGTGCAAACTTATTTGAAATTACTACAGTGTCTCCAAGATATGAAAGCAAGGATTAATAATCAATGAATAACAAAACCTTAAAAAAAATTAAATTGTGTATAAATTATATAAAAGGAGCATAAGGTATCTGTACAATTAATGTTTATTGTTTTAAACATTATCCTGTTATCTTTAAGTCCTTTTTATTACGTACAGTAACAAATAATTATGTTTTAAAAATAATTTATTATTGAACCTGTGGATGGGTAATATGCAGAATAACCTTAGTTAAGTTATTAGCTATTGATTAATTTTAAATAAAACCACTATTACTTACGTTCTTGACCTGCTGGCTGTCGACGGCGTCGGCGATGCGCCTGTCAATGTTCTGCAGTTGTTGCAGGTAGTTGTTGTTGGCGTTGTTGATGTTGACGTTGTTGGGACGGGCGGGCACGGCCTGGCCGTTGTGGTACTGCAGCTGGGGGTTGTAGCCGGGCTGAACGTTCTGGTTGAACTGGAATGGCTGCACGTTGGGCAAGTTGTTGGCGTACCTCTCCAGGTTGTAACGAGCCAGAACCTGTTGCAGGTAGTAGAAGAAGTTCTCGCCTTGGTTGGCGTTCTGGTTCTTCTGGTTGTACTTCTGCTGGTTGAACCAGGTGGGGTTGAAGATCTGCTGGTTGGCGAACTGCTGGTTCAGGTTGATGTCCTCGCTGAAGTAGGCGACGCGAGCCTCCTGGTTCTGCTGCTGCTGGTTCTGGTACTGGTTAGCCTGGTTCTCATTGTCGTAGTTCTGGTTGTTCTGGTACTGGTTGTTGAACAGCTGCTGGTACTGGTTCTGGTTACCCTGCTGCTGCTGTTGTTGCTGCTGCTGTTGCTGTTGTTGCTTCTGCTGCTGGTTCTGGACGTAGTTGTTGGTGTTGTTGGACTGGAAGACGGCTTGCTTCTGGCCTTGCTGCTTGTTGTTCTGGGCCTGCTGGATGGCCTGAGCGTTGACGTACAGGTTGGGGTAGACCTCGGACTGGGGAGGCAGGACGACGCCCTGGGTGTCTTGACGCTTGACGATGGCGACGCTCAGAGCGTAGACGAACTGTCCCTCGTTGACGCGGTCACGGGCCCAGCAAGCGGCCTGGTAGAAGGTGTCAAAGTCCTTGGCGAAGTAGAACACGTCGAACAGCTGGATGGCCTGTTGGAGCTGGTTGGGGTTGTTGTAGTTGAACACTTGTCCACGGGGCAACAGACCCTGCTGGTATGCGTTCTGGAACTGCTTTACGGCGTTGGCGTTCTGGAACAGGAATTATGAAATTAAATCGGTGGCCAAGTAGTATAAATGATATAATATAGTATAATATATTTGGTTATTTAAAAACACTGCAAACTATATTATTTAAAACAGCATCTCGTTCATAGGTATAAGGCCATTTGGAATATGGCAAAATTATGGTATAATACTGAACTTAAAAATATTTTCACTTACAGTAGCACTAGTAAGTCTGAAACTTATTCAAAAGAAACATTTTTACGTACAAAATAATGGAAGTTTTATAGCATTATATTAGAGTTGGTATGATAGTATTTATTTGAACTACTGTATTTAGTTTTTATATTAAATTGAAATATTTGAAATTGAAATACATAATACTATTGACAAAATATTGTTGGCCAAAATAATAACAAATTACTTAATACAAATTTCAATGAAAAAATTTTTTCACTATCTTACGCTTTTAAAATGTTTAGTTAAAATGTTATGTGTAGTTGATATGTTACTCACGTTGAAGTTCTGGTTGTTGAAGTTGAAGTTGTTGCCGATCTGCTGCTGGTCCTGGTTGTAGTTGGGCTGTTGTACATTCACGAACAACTTCAGCAAGCTCTGCTGCTTCTCGTTGAAGCTTTGGTTGCCTGAAAAGGTGTTCTTCTTTATTATATGTAATTACCGAGCAAATTCATGTCATTAAATAACTTTGTTATGTTACCTGTAGTTTTTTTACATGGAAAATATATTTATGAAACAGTGTTCTCTAGTAATCATGACAAAGAGATCAAAATAAACATAAAATTAAAATACAGGAACTTTTATTAGTTTTTATAAGTAATAGTTTTTATAATGGTATTGTTTGTATTAGGCCTATTTTTAGTGGGGCTTAGCTCATACGTTATATTACATTAAGATTGTCTTATAAACCCTAAATATATCAAAGTTTTATTTAAAATGTAAACAACTTTGATTAAATTAAATAAATATTTTAAATTTAAAAACTCTTTATACTTATTCTGTTTGCAATAGTTTGAATTCATTGTAAAATGAAGGAGTAAAATTGTTACTACCCAGTCAACTGAGTCAGATATATTAAATATATTTTATTTAACGGTATAATACTTAACTGAATGTACAGCACTTATATACAATTGGTAAAAATTACCTAAAATTTAATTGTACCTTATAAGCATCTGTTGACCTAGTACCAGAGTTGCAATTATAAGATTGTATTAAGGACGTAAATAAGTTGATTTGCTAAGAAGATTCTAGTTAGTGTACTGCTGCATATATCTTAAGCGAATATTATGTTGCTTATTTTTTAACAGTTGATTAAAAATTCTGGTTCTTCATTATAAAAAAAAAATATAATTATTTTCTGAGAAAATATTTTGGTTCAATATTTAAGCTATGGGTTGTACCTTTGAATATTAATATCTTCTGTATCCAATAGTCAATGGTTTTACCGACCAAAATATCAATAAAAATATTTAAAAAAAATCCGCGTTATATTGTAGAAGGTATTTTTTTCCGTGATGTATTTTTATAAGACCAATTTTGTTAATTACTGTATTTGAATATTTACTAAACAATGTTTCATAAGCACATTGGTCTTAACGCTAACAAATATGGTAACATGTTTACCTTGTTAATTATAAGCTTGTGTTTTAATGAATGTAATTTAAATACTGGATAAAACCCAATATATTACCAAGATAATTTTTTTCAATATCTACCTACTATTAGTTAACTACATACAAGTAAATAGATTTCCTCCGAAAAAAAATATCCATTTATTTATTTAAATGCTACAGTACAGGCTTACGTGCATATTAAATTGCAGCATAGTATGTTGCAAAATCGTTGTTAAAATCATTCTTTAAGTCGGAATAAGTTATTGATGGTGTAAAAAACAACAAAAATGTTTTAAATTTTAATTTCTTTGCGATGATAAAATTGAAAAAAAAATGCAGTTTCTTGGAATTCGAGACATTTCAAACTATAAAAGCAATAAGTTTCATTTATGTCGTGTCACAAGTAGTATAAGCTATAGTATGTTATGGTATTTAGGTTACCTTGCTGGCCTTGAGGGCCGGCCGCGGCGAGTGCCAATCCACACAGAAGCAGGGCTGTAAACTTCATGGTGAACAGTGACTCTGCAGACGACCGCTGGGGTATATATTGGCGCTGCTATCGCACTATCTGCCGACCCTGTGACTCGAACCGCCACAAAAACCGGGTCCAATCTTACTGTTGCCAAAAAGGCTGATGCAAATGTTGGTTTGACCATAACAAGATAAAGGAGCAAATAGATACAGGATGGAAAGAGACATGTTAAATTGTCCCCATCCTGCTGGCCAGGTTAAGTAGTATAGTTGATTTTGGATACGAAAGTAGATACGTAGGAATATCTATATACACTATCTACATGGAACAGCTAAAGCCAATACTATTTATGTTAACCTTATAATGTTATGGAGTTATTGAAGTTTGTGGGTTTTTAAAAGTTGAAGGAACATAAAATTAGAGATTTGACTGGCAAAAATGCCTCCTTTCCCTCAATGCTCAATAGCACTAAGCTTGGGGAAAACAGGGACAAACACAATTCAAAAACAAACATCACAAAAACAAAACTATACCACATTGAATTTGTCTAATTAAATTTATCCTGCCTATTTAACTATTATTTCATGAGCTTACATCATCAATGTAATAATACTAAACTGAAATTAACTAACTAAACTATCAATATCGTAATGATTAACATAAAAATTATAAAAAGTTGTTTGATAAAATAGTATTGTTAAGGAATATTTTAAATTTTTGAAAACCACAAACAAAATGTATTAATATTATGTATTTAAAAATGATATTATATTCATGTAATGGAATTAAGTTTTCCTCTCAAATAGTTTGAAGCTAGAGAGAGGTAAATAAGTCGCTGCAGTGTACAACAAATTTGGAATGCGAGAAATAAATGAATTGAATTGAAATTGAATTAAATTTAAATGCTTAGTATAAAATGTACTTCATACTAAAATTTACTCGTATGAAATATACTTGTGTTGATTTAATTATTGATTTTGCAACAATATAATTGGCATTGACATATATCTATACCAAAGTTATAGCTAATAAAAAAAAACAAAAAAAAGCTTTGTAGTTAATCCTCCAGTAGGCGCGCCAAAACTTAAGACAACTGTATTATTTTTAATATTTTAAGGGTTAAGATAAATAATAAAATTGTTCTAGATTCAAAATAATTGGTTTTTATGTCAATTGGCAAAGTTAGTTTTTAGAAAGAATATTTTTTTCTCTAAGAAGATTTTTTTTTTTTATTCTCATATATATTTTCACTTGGCATAAAAAAAAAAATTCAAGGTAACATATAAATTAAAACATTGATTTTGATTCACTGATTTATTGATTACACAGAATTATGAGTGTTACACATGAATTTCATTTGTTGGACCAACAAAAAATGAAAGATCTTGTATAAATGCAAAATACAGCCGCTTGTTTCATGGCCACTTGGCTCGGTTACTCATCTCCGGCTTTCATCAAAATATTTCATTTTCTACCTATTCAGAATAAGATATTAGAACGAAGGAGTTGTAGATCATTTCAATGCTATTATTCTATACTAGGTGAAACCCGTCGAAATCGACGGTTATTTTCAAGGCTTACGCTAATTCATCTAACTGCGATAAATTGAGTGAAATTGTACATATTTTGAGCATTAAGCATTGTTTAAAGATTAATAAGTGTAAAAACAATAATGATAGTTACCAAATATGGTTGATCATTCAATGAATAAAGTATCTCCCATACTGTACGTCATCGGAGTTATTAGTATATTATCTGGTATCTAAACGTTTGGATTAAACTTTAAATAGTATTAAAATCGTATTGGTGGATCTTTTGTAGTTAAACACTTTCGTGATTTCATCAGTGTAATGCAGATTAATCTATTTGAAAAAAATATCTGTTTGTTGGGAAGACACGTTCTAACTTCAAAGGGAGATATCCATTACAGTATAAGTTTGATTTTTCCTTCGTCACGTCGCGTCAGTTCATATCGTACTTCTGTGCTAATGAATAACCCTCTATCATAGTTTTGAGAAATTTTTTGTGGGGTTACTGTTAAAGCTGGAATTCCTTGACATGGGGGATGTCAGTTAGTTGTCTCAGCCATATCAATTACATAAGGTTGTCAATATAATCTCTCTACGGAATGTGAGGTGTAGTGGAATATACTTGAAGTGAAGTTGGCTTTTATTCTTAAACTGTTAGGGGCCTCCTCATTTATATGCGGCTTCATTGACAACAAATAATGCAAATGACATAGCGATGGGACATTTCCAAAAAGCAAAAATACTGTAAATTTGCTGTTACGTAAATATTGACGATTACATGCATTGTTAATCAACGTATCTTATAAAGGATGATGTGATCTAGTTTAAAAGGAATATGACCTTTCTGTCATGACAGTAGCTGCTTAAATATTATTTACTCATTGGGCCATATTTACAGCCAAAATGTTGTGTTATTTTCAATAACATATGGGTAAGTTACATAGATTTTTTTTGCTGCTGATCAGTGCACTTTAAGAATATATATTTTGGAGATAAATTAAATGGTTTTTGTTGCAGAGTAGCGCTAGTAAACATGCACAACCCTTTTCGTTAGTCTAATAACATTCAAAGGCTCTCTAAGAATTCAAGTTCTTATTTGTATAGGTACATATCTATATTATGTTTTCACTAAGCTGAATGAATACATCGAAGTAACCTCTCTGAAAAGTCTGCAGTATATTGCAGTTTTCCAGCTTAATGACTTTATTTATCATGCAAATATTTCTACATAAATATTGTAAAATGTTTTATCCAGTTGCTGTAAACTACTATTTAACAAAATATGGACACGACTCAAACAGGCACCGTGCCCTTCTGCACTTGTAGGCTATTATTTTGTATTGTATTACACAATTTAATATTTTTCCAATTATTGAAAACGTGTATGACAATAATCTCATGAACCTATGATGATCTGTCTAGAACAATATGATAAAAATAAAGACAAAAATGGTGAAAAGGGCAGTCCCTAACCCGTAAAATAGATATAAGGTCAATAGGAAATAATTTTAAGAGTTACTGTGATAAAAGGATTTTCTACTGATTTCGTCATGGTATATATTGCAAAACATAACATGATACAGAAAAAAATAATTTTAAAATCAGAAAATAACATTGCAAATGCTTCTTTTGGACAATTTAGTAACTTCCGTGTCTTGTTTAAAATACAATTTACAAATTAACAGCTGTTTCATTAAAAAGTATTATCCACATGGCCAAAATGTAAACAAATCTGTAGAGGGATCTTTAAAGGCTTCTGGGGCAGAGCCCTAAGGGAATTTACTTCGTTTTTCTTTTGATAACCCATCTACAGACCAAGACCTTTCTTTTGACACCCCTACCAAGTTTCTACGCCCAGCCGTTCTCTCAAATTAGTAGAGACAAAGTTTCCAATTAAATTTGTAGATTCCCCCATATTAATCTTATGGGAGAAAATCCAACTTTGATGGAAGATCCTGCCCAAACTAATAAAGATATCAAAAAATGAAAAACACTTTGCAAAACTACAGATCAGGGCAATTCTTTTGACATTTTAATCATCAAAATCGGTCCAAAAATGAGGGAGGAGTTCTGTTTACAAAAATCGGCTTAGCGTATTATATATATAGATAGATTTTATACAGATCCAGATAAATATTCGAAATATAGTAATTGTAAAACAAATATTACTATAACCTATACAATAATACAATGTAAAACATTTAATATTAAACACTATTCATATTTTGTAAAACAATGCATGTAGGCGAGTTGTACACATTTTGATTGTGAGTGTATACAATTTTACATATTATTTTTAAAGTGTCTCATGTAATCTGATTTGTTATTTCTAAATTTAGTATAAGAAAGCTAACAAAGTAACAACTGAAATTGATCTTTGGTTAGTCAAAATAACGTTTATTTCAGAACAGCTTTTGGTTTGAAAATAAAGTTTCGCGCACATAACCTTTGTGTTCACAAAATATAACTGTGTAGCCTGTATACAGGTATGACAAAAAGGTCTGGAAACGGTTTAATATCTTTTTAACTAAATTTGTTAGGAAATTCAAACCTTTCACATCAACTTATATGTATGAAAACTACTTTTTGCAATCATTGCCATTATTTGACCTTCACCAGGGGACGGCCCACGAGGAGTAGGAACATAATCTTTAATGTAAGCATAGGTTGATATGCACATCATTTTAAAGGTCTGGTTAAGTGGAGTTCATTACCGGAAACCGCGTCAAAAAAGGTTCATCCGTTACAAAATGGCGGCAGTTCAAAGTTCTTGCGGAATATACCTGCAGAGGCCTTAGTATTGGTAAATAATCATAGTCAACATTAGCAGGGAAGTCTGAAACCCGGTTAAATTTGTTTTGATGATTGAATACTATTAGTCTATGAGCTAGTTGACTTTAAAATACAGTTTAAGCTTTCATGCTAATGTTTAATACGAGTATTTGCCCATACTAAGGCCTGTACAGGTATATTTCCCAAGAACTTTGGACAACTGCCATTTTGTAACGGATGAACCTTTTTGGACGCGGTTTCCGGCAATGAACTCCACTTGACTAACTCTTTAAAATGGTGTACATATCAACCTATGCTTACATTAAAGATTATGTACCTACTCCTCATGGGTCGTCCCCTGGTAGAGGTAAAAAAATTACAATGCTTGGAAAAAGTAGTTTTCATACACGTAAGTTGATGTGAAAGGTTTGAATTTTCTAACGGATTTAGTTAAAAAGATATTAAACCGTTTCCAGACTTTTTGTCACCCTGTATTTAAACAATATAACTTGTACACAACCATCTTGTAGCCATATATTTGTAACCGAATAAATTTATAGTTTAACCAATAAAGATAGAATATAAATACAGCTTTTCGGTTTACAGGGCAAACTGAAAAAAAAAAACGATTTAAAAGTACCAAAGCGATTAAAACTGTCATTATCAATTACCTATTTGTCGAATAGCATGAGATGATCTGTGTAGCTTTTTTGGTTACTAAGAGCAGCTCTTTTATCAGGCGCGAGACTTTATTAGCCTGAAAGTCTAATAA